TTCTTCATTGGGACAGACACAATATCGACACAGGTGCTTCACATTGTTCCCCCGGCTCCTGTACTTTCCACAAAGCAGTTCTGCCTCATCGGTGTCAGCCCTCACCATTGCAGTCCAGAACACCAGCGTCTTGTTTCGGTAGAGCTTTCCTCGGTAAGGAAGGTCCCATACCATCCCATTCGTCTCCAAGGGGATGTAGTTGCTCAAGATGGTTTCAATTTGGGCATGGAAGTCTTGCGCTTTTGTAACTTTATTGGAGGTTTCTCCTTCCCTACCCACAAACATACTTCCAAATCCTCAAGTGCTTGGTCATGACGAGAATCCGAAACATCTTCTTTCCTCTGGATTTACCTTCCGAATAGTTAACCACAAAGCCAACAATCGCCCAGGCTTGATCTTCTTCCGATAGTCAAGGGTGAAACAGATAATGACATCTTCAAAGCGGTGATTGAAAGGTTGTCAAACTGGCCCGTAACTGCCCCATCAATGTAAAACTGGACCCCAATGCCTATCTCATTCTGTGGGTCATCACGTATTCATTATAGGCGTTTCGGTATGCCTCGCCCGTGTTCAACTCACCCACATAGGTCGCCTTTCAGGTGTGGACCATCGGATCATCATTGAAAAAGCAGAAATCCTCATCTGTGAGGCGTGGATCGGTAAGCAATTGCTCCACAAAATTCCGAGCACTGAAGCAAATGACTTTGATCCGGGCATTGCAATGAGGAAGGACTATCTCCTTTTCAAAGGTAACTTGTCGCTCATGTTGTCCTTTCCTTAAGAATTCGGAGCAGTTTTTTCCTGCTGAGGTAGTCTGGATTCTTTCCCAGCTTTTCGTTGTCCATTAGCGACCCAGTTTCCTCCAATGCCAAGCAAGTACATCATCATAGGTATCCAGAGGTGTCCTTTTCCTACGGAGGATATCCATTAGTTTGCCCCTCGCTTCTCCGAATCGGTTTGCTCGGGTAATTTCTTTGCCTTGACACAGTAGGCCCTGAATGCGTTTATTGTGCTTTCGTCTGGGGGGCCGTATCATCCAATCCTCTTTGTTGTCACCTTGCAATGTGGAACTGACCCTTCCAAACTGAGCTCACTGTCCTCCACTGGTAGGCTCACTATCCGAATCCGCGTTGAAACGATCAATTTGGTAGGGAAATCACCAACCTCATCTAGCTCCCCATTTCCTTCCCCATCGGCACCCTTTTGTTTGCCGCGGATTCGAGGATTTGCTGCAGGTTTCCGATGGTCTGTGTCTTCTTTGGAACCACACTACCTTGGAGTAGGCCCTGGCATGGGCATCCTCGTCCTGCAATCCTTGTGGAATGGCTCCCCTGGAATCTTGTCCTTTTGCTGCCTTTCTTGGTGCTTTTGCGGGCCGACCGGTGTCAGTGAGACCAGCTGATCAGCTCTGGCCCTTGATCTTGTCTGACTAGCACCTATAGGATTGAAAGCAAGGTCCAAACCAAGGGCTTCTGCATCAGTTGGTGGCAGCGTTGTTCTGTTGCATGTGAGATTGCTGATATCCCACAGATTGAATTTTTTATTGCAGTAAGGGCACTCAAACTCCTTCTTTGATGATGCCATGGCTGCAAGCTAGCTAACCAACACTAGCTCTACTAGTACTAGCTAGGCGCACTGGTTGTGATTTGGATTCTGTGTGCTGGGGAACCGCCCGCTTACCAATCGGGATATAGTTTATGGTACCAAAGAAGAGGGTTTGCCTTCCCGAAAGACGGTCCAAAAAGTGGATCCCAAATCGTGAAGCAGGCAGTCTTGCGGGCGGGCCTTCGTTGCATGCCCATGTGGAACACACAATCCCGATTCAATCACTGCACGCATTCTTGGAAGAAATTACGTCACGGATCGGATCGTGCTGGTTGGCGTTTGGTACCTGCACATGTCGATTCTAGCACTACCTAAAAATGCGCTTCTTAGATGCCAGTAATGTTCTGGGTGGGAGAGATCTCGAGTCCGAGCCGAACTCCCCGTTCAACGACTCCCATTTCAGGGTGTTGGTTCCGACGAAACATGTTCTGGCGCCGACCGGGGTTCGAAAAAATGGATTGGGTCCCTTCCTCTTGGTTTCCACCGCTGGTTTCGATTGTTGGAGTCGTTGGGTTGTTGTTGCCATTTTCCGCGGGAGGCGAGGTGTTGTATTATTCTGGCGGGCCTGTTGGTTTGTGGATTGTCCCTGGGTACCAGAGTATTGGTTGCCATACTTTTCTTGTCTGGTCCTTGTTTCAAGGACCCACTTTTTTTTCAGGCGTCATCTGCTTCCAAGCCTTGCTAGAAAATCCACTTCCTGGTGGAGGGCCACCAGTTCCTTGTCCATTATTTTGCCGGTTGTTGTTGTTGCCGGTCCCAGCCTGGGAGTTTAACTTGGCAAGTCTGCGCCGTTCCTTCTTTCCTTTTTCTTTTGAGCGCGGGTCTTTTTGTGCTTCTCCATTATTAGAGCCGTATCCATTGTAGCAGTTTTCCTTCCTTCTTTGTTGGTCAACCTCAGCTTCAGGTCCTCCAGGGAGTAGTCTGTGTAATGGTCAAGGATGTTTTGAATATGTCATCCTCAAACCACTACAAAAGGTTTCTCTGTAGGAACTCAGGTAGGGCCACCCCACAACCTTCAATCTCAACAACCAATGTCTCAAACTTGGACTCATACCAGGAGTAGCCTCCCCTGGTTTGCTTGTTGAGCTTGAGGTGTTGGAGGTCTCCTCCTGTTGGAGGCATTCAATTCCTTGTCACCTCCATGCTCATAGACCTCCACCAATTTCTTCCAGGCTAGGCAGCCATCCAGGGTATTCAAGTAGGCATGAACCTTGGAGAAGGCAGTCCCACCCTCTGTCTTCAGGACTAGGATGGAGAAGAACTCTTGAACTTCAGCATCATAGGCAGGATCCTTCTTCCTTCTCTTCAGGTGCTCCTTGATATCCTTGTCATCCTTGACGGTAAGGAGGTGCCCCTTGCGCATCAGGGAGCAGATACTTAGGGCAGAAAGGTGGAAGGACTTCCAGTGGTTTTGTTTCCCATCGAAAGCCTTGAAGTCAGACATGCTGGCCTTCACCATTGGTTTGGTGGTGAGTGCAGAGCTGGAGAAGGAGGCTAGATGTGAGTCTAGGGTCCCATCCTCAGTGATGGAGGGGGGACCAGTCTTCTTGGTCTTGGGCTTGGGCTTGGGGGCTTCATCTTCTTCAGGTTCAGAATCTTCAGGGTCATCATCACTGCTTGAGTCTTCTGGGTCACTGTCACCACCATCTCCAGCACCCCCCTTTTTGTCAAGCTTGAACTTGACCACCTTGGGCTTAGACCCCTTAGAGTCCTCAGTTCCAAGGTTGGATTCAGTCTCAGTTCCACCAGATTCAGTCTTCTTGGTGGATCCTTTGGATGGGGGTGTGTTGTAGCCATCCTTCAGGGTTTCCTCTAGTGCTTTCTCCGCTCTGGCCTTGCTTTCCTGCAACTTCAAGAGCTCATACTCAGCTAGGGCTGCTTTCTTGGCTTCGCGGGCCAAGTCAACTTCCTCAATCCACTTGTCCTCGTAGTGTTCCTCAATTTGGTCAGGTCCAAAGTTCTCCTTCCAGTCTCCCAATTCGATATCCATCTTGCGAGGTCTTCCAGTGGTGGATCGGTACTTCCAAGTGTTGAGGGCTTGGGTTAGGGCATCCAGCTGTTCGAGCTGTACCCAAGTGATCTGCTCGGGTATCCCTTCTTCCTTCCACTCCTCCGCGGCCTTCTTGCTGAAGTTGCGGATCAACTTGGTAGGGGTAGTGATACTCATACCCCAAATGAACAGTAGTAGTTCAAGGGAGCACTCCCCGCATTCCATCACGAGGTACTCCATGATTTCGAAGCTCTTCCTTTCCCTGGGGGTCATTTCCGCGATGAAGCCGGCCAAAGCTTCATCCCTTGCTAGGTCCAGGCTGGCCTTGGAAGGGCTGTCTTCATCTTCAGATGCCATCTTGTCAGTTACTCAGAACAACACGAACTTTTAATCTGGCAAAGTCTTGAGGTCAACTCAAGACGGGTTTCAAGGTAGTTTGGGTGCAAATAGCAGGTGCTATCAGGTGCAATAGGTACAATCCTTTGTCCTGGTCAACAGGTACACTTATTTGTTATGCTAAACTAAGAATTGTGAGCACACATGGCTCCTAAAGTCAAATACAGTGGCACATTTCGAAGGGCCGCGAAATGGGACTTCCTACAGACCGTAAACGGGACTTCCAGCCACTTCTGTGCATATAAACCTTCATCCAGGACCTCACCTGACCACCAAACATTGATACATAGGGACATTCATAGTCCAGGACTTCATAATGTCATCAAACATATAGTAATCATGCTTGTCCCAAGACCTCATAGTATCTTCCATCATCTAGGAGTCTTGCCCAAAGATACTTATGAGTCATGCCTAAAGACTTAGAGCACAGGCCAACCATACAATATCCCAGAGTGAAATACTTCCAGGCAGCACACTTGTTCCAGGGACAGACAAGCTGAGAAACCAGCACTACTGTGTAAACACACCAAAGACAGACACAGTGGGAAGCCAGCAGTAATGTTTTCACATCATGTGGCTCCAATCCAACTCCTGTCAGAACAGAGAACGCTGGCAAGAACACGTTCTCAACGAAACCAAAGGACACGGTAAATTGGAGTATTCGACAGGAGTAAAGCATCCTGCCAACGAACCGTTTCCCGCAGATACCACGTTGACTTCCGTATGAATCAAGATCAACTACCACGATGCATTGATCTAACACGCTACGAACTAGCTTTACTGATCACATCAATCAAAGCTCACAACACAGATTATGAATTACTAAGAAGCGAACTTTGCATTTACTTTGCACTCGTCTTGAATAGTTGCAGCTGATCTCGTTGGGTGGTAGCTACCTCTACAAGATCCCTCTATTCAAGTAGTATTCCCTCACGTTAGCAAGAGCAACTTGATCTCCTGGTACTCATCAGTCACCTCCCCTGGTTTGGCTTTCTTGAAGCAGGGGAACCTATTCTTGACTGTGTCCACTTCCTTTTCAATGGCATCGGTCCACAGTGAGTTGCATTTGATCTCATCCAGCTTGTAAGCCTCTGCCTTGGTCCTTGGAACCCTCACTCCAAACTCATATCTGACAGCACCACCAGTCCTCTTCTTCATCAGCCTCCATTGCTTTCTGATCCTGAGGAACTTCTTCCTGTTCTTCAGATACTTGTGGGCCCACTTCCACCTGGACTCATGGACAATGCCTTTGAGGGCCGCATACTCTGCAAGGACTGTTGGGCTATCCTTCCTGATCACTTCCATGGGTTCCCAGGTAGCCTCATCCTCAGTGAAACCACTCCACTTGACCTTGACATCAATCTTTCCTTGCCTACCAGGTTGTTTAGACCATTTGTGGTCTAGGATCATGTCAAAATCCCAGTACTCTGCATGAGCATCATCTGACTTGGTTAGCATCTTGACGATCTCTTCATACTCATAGATCTTCTGCTTTCCACCCTTGAATTTCACCCTTACTTGGATGGAACCATCATCATCATTGTAGACCTCCTTAATCTGACCTTTTACATCTCTTTTCACACCTTTCTTATTGGGGATGCGGTCCCAGATGAACAGGTCCTTGATGGTTTCCTTGGGTACCTCTGCTGGGGGAGCCTTGAAATTTGGTTCCTCCCCAGGTTTGGTGCTAGGGTCCTTCTCCCCTGTCTGGGTGTACACAACAGGGCAGAAGGCTTCTTCGGTTCTGGCCCTATCTTCCTTGTGGAGAACTGAGACAGCATCCCTAGTGGTATCTGAGATGTTCTCCCCTTCAACCTTCCTCACCGCGTATCTGACAATGAGTTGCTCAGTTTCAAGGGTTAGGATCCAAGAACACATCCCATCACCATGGTCCAGAGCCCTGCCCAACCATCTTCCAAGCCTCTCATTTCCACCAACTGCTTGTCCAGGGAACTTGTGGGTAGGCTCATGGTACAGTACTACATCCCAGAACTTGAATTTGATGAGATTGGAGATGTCTGGGGTCTGCCCAGTAAGTTTTTCAATGGGTGTCCTCCATCCCAAGCATTCCTTTGCAGTGTTTCTGTCTAAGTCTGCGGCGTGTTGGATGGCCTTTGCCCAGGCTTGGGGTGCGCAACCCGTTGTGATCATCATCTTGGTTACACTCCCCTTGCACACCCCAATTCCAAACTCAGCACGATTTTGGGATGGCTTGTAAGGCTGGGTGAACTTGTCCTTGGACCAATACCTGCGCATGTAGTCTGTCCACACCTTGCCCATTTGCATCTTGGAGTTGTCCCGAAGGATGGATGGAGGGACACCAACTTGTTTGAAGAAATCGAGGAGGGCATTCGGGCCATCCTTTTCACTCCCCAAGCCATAGACAAAAATAGAGTGGGAATCGAGGCCATAGAAAATCTGATAGGCGTTATATCCTTCATAGGAGGTGACGGTGGAGAAGAAGGTGTCGGTTGCAAAACCTTCTGGGAGGCGCCGGCGTTGGAGAACTGGGTTCATGGACTGGACTTGATTTCTCATTGGGAAATGGGAGTTTATGCCTCCATAGGCAGTGGTAGCAGCAATAGTGTGCTGCACAGTATCCTCAGGTAGATTGAGGAAGTAGGGTCGGACATCCTTTACTGTAGGGCGTTTGGCGGTAGTTGCTGTGTGGTTGAGGTATGCTGTGATGGAATTTTCCCAGGTTGCAAACTCACTCTGGGTCAATGACTCTTCCACAAAAGTTTCAGGGTTCCACACCATGGGGCTAGTTGTTTCATAAGCTCTAAGTGTGGACAATTCTTCCTCTGTGGGCCTTCTGATGGGGAAGCCCAGCAAGGCTCCCCTGACATAGAGAGGGATGACAATATCATCTAGAATGACGCAAGAGTCTCCACTGTTGGAGGAAATATACCTGACACCTCTTTACGATTGACTCGTGTATTAATCATCTAGTCCGGTTCGCATGCAAATTCATCATGCAAGGAACCGAGGGAGTTTTAGGTCTAAAGTGTTACGGGGGTCCTTATATCCAATTCAATCACAAGAATTGCTATGCACCACCAGAAAATCCTCACTTTTGCTTTTCAGCTTAATCTAAAACCAAATTACTCCCCAATAAGCTGCAGTATTACTAGCAAACAACACTGAAAAGCAAAAGCCCATCTCGAGTTACTACTACCGATCTCGAGATTGATATCAAGGTAACAAAGTCAAAGTGTATTGACTATCAAGTCAAAGTGTATTGAGTTAACCACTGCAACAGAGCAGAGGTGCTAAGAATCAGCCTCTAGCTACACTGTAAGAGCATCGAAAGGCCTCTAACAGGAAAAAGGTACGCGGGAAGATTCCCATCTTCATTCATTCCCATTTGACGTCACGGAAGATCAACTGTAAGTTTCGGCCGGAACTATAGCAATCCAAGCATAACAAGTTGAAGAGAACAAGAAGACACACCAGTTACGTGCTGAGAGCAAGGAAATCCGGCTCTTATTCAAGGAGTTGAAGCGGATTACGTCATCGCGCGAGATTACGAGATTTCGATCCATCTCATCACAACGAGCAGAAGTCATCGAACGGGGATCAAGATAGATCCTGACACAGACGTTGCAAGCAAGAGGTCCTATACATCAATCAATAGAGGACATCTAGCCGCATCTCTGAGTATCAGTGCAAGCTTCTAACTCCGAAAATGGAGTGAGATAGGTTGATTCGAGTGATACAGTGCTATTGTGAAGAGAAACACAAAAATCCCGGTAAACCACACGGAGTCCTAAAACTCCATCGTTTGCCTGTTTCAAACTGTAATACTCACACAGTGTAACCATCTACGCATACCAAGACCATCTGCAAGCTTTGCAGAGACAACAATAGGACCATCAGAGGCAGTTCGCTACTACCCAAGGGTCCAAAGAAGATACCACGTTCTACGTGAGCTGTTGAAAAGACAGAGGCTATCCAGCCACAAACAGGTGCACCAACAGCGACCAAAAGAAGGCTATCCAGCCACCAAGAAGCTTTTACAGGCAACTACAAGAGTAGTGCCCGTCGTGAGATCCTTCCTGCAGGAGTATCCACACCAAAACACAAGCTAGTTCCAAGGAACAAGCAAGCACAAGAGTGCATTACCACACCAGCAAGACCATGAGATTCCAAGGAAGAGGTGGTCGTGGTGGAGGAAGATACCCTTCTAGGGGGGTAGGGGATTCAATTCCTCAGGAAGAAGCCATCAAGGAAGAGGCAACAGCTACAGGAACCAGAACAAGAGTTCCAAGTGTCAGTTCCTCTTCCATCCAAATGGACAGGCTGACACCAGGTATTATCCTTTTGAGGAGACCCTGACACACATTGTCCAGGACCTAAGGATCAAGCCTGAGTGGAATGATGTGCCACTGGCTTCATTGGCCATTGAGACATGAAGAGTCAGGCACCATCCAAGCCGGAGAAGCCGACACTTCAGGCATCACTTGCTGATCCCAAAGTGCAAGAGTACGATGCTTTGGAACTCAGCGAGTACAAGGCAAAGTCATCCATCTACGACAAGTCGACTCGATCCTATGAGAACATTCTCAAGACTGGTGCAACCACCATACAGGTGACATACTGTACCGAAGCAATGAAGTCCAAGTTGAGAGGCCTCCCAGACTATGAGGATGCAGTCAAGCTCGACCCCATTGTGATGCTCCAGAGGATCCGTTTGACAGTGATGCAAGGCTCTACAAAAGAGTTCCCATTACTACAATACATCAAGACCATCCAACGTGGTCTGTTCCCCAAGCAAGAGTATCATGACAGACTTGATACTACTTGAGGAAGGTCGACAGCGACGTTGATCAAGTCTATGATCTAGTCGGAACGGCTTCATTGATGTAAGAACTCTGAACATCAGACGACTACCAGGCCGCATCTGGACAAGACGCCAAAGACAAGGTGTACTTGCGGGACGAGCAAGGTTGAAGGCAACCGTGGCCTACCATGGACTACAAAGGGAAGATAGGAGATTACCAGAAGACCGTTGAGGCAGCCTATGCCATGACGGTACCATCCAGTTCCCTGATACCCTTGATCATCTTAGAGAGACGCTGTCCAATGACAGATTCAAGGCCCAGCAAGGAATGGTTGACCAACGGAAGGCCAAGGACCGGAAGCCATATTCCAATCCCAGCCACCTCCTTTTGATCACAAGAAGATGAAGGAAGGGCTCCCAGCTGCTGTCTTCTACCAGCAGTCCCAGCCAGGCGAAGCCTGTACTGTTGTGGAAGCCCAGATCACAAACTTCCGCAGTGCAAGGTGAAGCGAAGATCCCCAAGCCTGAATGGCCATCAACAAGTTCAATGGCATGAAGACGTCCTTCATGCCACAGTACCACCAACACCAGATGCAGCTACTCCAAGGAGGCCCACCACAGTGGTGACGGCGCCAGCTCCAGCTCAGCTGGGGACTCTCCGAGCAGGAGTGATTCAGTGAGTCCCTCCACCTCCTAGAGCCAGTTGAACTTTCAGCAGTTCCCATGTCAAGCCAAGCCTCCAGGCCAGCGCGGCAGGTCATTGCAGTTCCACTTCAGCACCATCAAGTTCGATGGAGTCCCGCCCCTCGATGGGCAGAGATGATTCCACCACCGACAGTGAGCCGAAGCTTCCATCGACTGGGGAGCATTCGCTACGATTTCCTTGGAGGCATCCCTCTATGCAGAGAGAGTGGAGCATGATAGACATCATCGAAGAAAGCTATCACTCCGGCTACGGCCATGATCAGCTTGCTGAGGGAGGTCCTGACGGTGTAACATCGGATCTCGACCTTATTCTCCAGCGGTACAAGATACACATAATATACTTGTCAGTCGTTCTTCCCACCCTGACACCGTCTTCCACACAGATCCCTCGAAGGAGTCATCCCTCGGAATGGCCAGACGATGATCAGAGCTGCTTTTCCGACTACAGCTCGGATACAGAGAATGAATTTCGCGCTTGTACCGTGGACCCAACCGGCGTCAGCGTGGAGAATCAGCGAAGCAACTGTTATGAAGATTTCCAAGACCAAGACTCACTATCAGTCGAAGAATAGAACCATCAAGTTGCGTTTGAGTTCCCAGGAGTGTGCAGATGCCGAACTCACAGGGGTGGCAGAGCCAAATCTTGCAGAGTGTCGGTCAAGAACCTCATTCCTGATGGAGCAAACACAGTGTATCTCGACAGTGGCAGTTCCATCCGAACTGTCATGAACCGGACATGATTGTCCGCTAAGCGGCTATCTCCCAGACCAATCGAGATGGCCACCAATGTTGGAAGCACCACTTACCCAAGAAGGTGACACACCTTACGGCAATGGTTATTCCAATCCAGAGGCATCGCAAATATCAACACTTTGTCTCTTGTTGTGGATGACTGCGTCAGGGCACAGGATGGATCCTATTTCCTCATGGAATCAAGAGTCGACGACGCCATCTACCACTACCGCCCACATGGGATCCATACCAGGTATGGAGGGACCGCCAAAGGTCTGTATGGCGTGTTGATTGAGCAAGACCTGCTGGATCACATGGCCCAACCCAACCAGTTTTCACCGGATTCCAGCAATTTGGTCCAGACGTGGGAGGGCAACCTCGAAGGTTTTACCAAGAAGCAAGCCAGGGTGCATTTCTCGCAGAAATCTCTCACAACCTCCAGCGCCCATCTTTGGAGGGCTACGCAACATGATCAGGACTGTCAAATTCGCGATGTCCCGTAAGCTGGAGGACATCGATCGCGCCGAATTAATTTCGGGAGCGACATGGGGCAAGGCCAAGGGCTCTACTACACGCAGACGCCGACCAACAGTGACCGACAGTATTCATTCTGTACCGGATGAGCTGGTGGCACACACAGGTTCCTGACCGGATGATTGAGTGTTTTATGTCTGTGAGATTGCCTTTCTCGCATTCACTGACTTGCAAATCCGGCACCGCGAATCAGCCTACTGACCAACAGGAAGGGAAAATCATTCTATGCCCCATGACAAGATTTTTGTATCGGTACGGAAATAATGAATTCAAGATCCAAGAAATCCAGTGCGAACTGGAGTTCAAGAGCCTGATGATCCTGTCAAGAACGACATGGAGCTTAAGCTCAACCATGGAGCGGCTCAGACCCACAGTGGTCCCGCCGAGCGCAACATCCGGACCTTGAAGGAGCGCATCGCGCAGCCTGGCATTCAACCCGTTCATGGTGATGCCAAAGGTGATGGTTGTGGAATTGGTGTACGAAGTTAACTGTAAACTCAACCTCTTCCCGCGCTTGATGGAATCTCTTAAAGTGTATCCTCCCAGGCAGATCTTGGAGGGTCGGACCACAACCTACAAAGATATTCAGTACACTTTTGGAGCTATTGTCTTGCTTCCAACGAACCAGACAAGCTCAATTCCATGGGAGCCCAGGCGATTTGGATTGCATCTATCTCGCCCATTGATGGACATACCACCAAGGTGGGCACAGTGTGATGGACCTCGTCACCTTTGAGGTGATCACGCGACAGCCTGTCGTATCCGCCGATGCCTCGCTCAGTCATTGATGCTGTCGAAAAGAAGGCTACGGTGAGGGAAGAACCACTAATCTTTCACAACCGTGACTTTGTGGATTTTTACCTGTATGTTTGCCTGCAGGAGTGGATGGTGTCAATGGGAATGAGAGCTACCTCCAAGTCTATGGAACTCTTCGGACGAAGATTCGGTGGACTCCA